TTGCGCTTGAAACCTCGCTCAAAAGATAACGGTATGTGACTATGTGTTATATCAAGGAAGCGAATCTACAATCTACAACTTTCACTAGTGATGGATTGAGGCGTACATAAAATATTTATGAAAATTTATTTTTTACGGTGATTTTAGGTGCAGTATTTCCTTAGACGAAACAGGCAACCTCGATAGATTTAGATATAAATTTAACAAGTGATCCAACTCATGGAGCAATCATTCGAATTCGCGTACTACGTTCGAGGTCAGTGAGGTAATTATGAAAATTGCTTCATGAAAACGGAATGTATGCCTTTTTTGAATGCATTATATACCTAGAGATATTATTATTTCAAATGTTTAAGTGAATTCAGGTATGGATAGCATAAAATGCAACTTACTACTTCTGCTAAAACTTTGAACCGATATGCACACTTACAATTTTAAATCACATTTTCACAACCAGACCAAGATGTTCAAAAAAGGTAATATCAGTTTTCATATTACTTCGTGTGCACGGTTTTATGTTACTCAGCAACAAATCAAAAGAAGCTGATTAAGTTTGCCTCATTAAGTCAGCAGCAAGGAACTACAGTACGTAAATGAAAACCTAATAAACTTTGTCAGATGCACCACGTGAAAGGTTATAAGAAACTGCAGGCTTGTAGTCGGCAGAAATGTGGCAGGGCTTATTCAAGTTTGAATCAAATTATGAAGATGAATACTTCCTTTTCAAACAAATAACAGTATTCTTTACACTTTTTGCATTTAGAACCGAAACAGTGACTAAAGTAGAAACTGTCAAACATTTAAGTCATGTCTTCTGTGTAATATACGGATGGTTTAATTAGTAGCGTAGAAAGTTATAGCTATTTTAAACCATCTCAGGCAAAGCAGATACATATGGAGTAAAACAAATCAAGTACTTTACTGAATGATGTTTTACATCTGAATGCTGTCCACCAATATTTTTACTAGAATTAGAATATGTATCCATGTGTGGTATAACTAGGCTTCATTTTTTTACTTTTATTGTTTAGGGTGAGCGGAAGTATGAAGTGTGCACCTAGCGATAAGCTTAAAATGTACTGGTTAGCTGTAAATCGTCCACATGAATTTCGAACTTACTTTAGTGTTTCAATGATTTTTTTGTAGGGAAATCCGTGCTTAATTTGTTTTTGTCGAAATAGTTCATACAAATTAGACGAGAAATCGTTTTCATCAGAATAAAATTTTACATTTTGTTCTGTAGAGTATGATTTAAAGAAAACTAGTAGGCGAAACCAAGTTTGTGGAAACTTATTACAATATACTGCTGAACGAAATGAGTAGGTGGGAACTACTCACTTTGATCTGGTCAGTGAAATCTTCATATCAGCTTCAGTAGTTAGTAACTACACATCTTATTAAGTAGTATATTCCGTTAGTTTATGACACTTTTATGCTAGAAATCCCATTTCGTATCCTTGTTTGGGTGGTTTCCAGCGGAAACTCCGAAGACACCATTGTTGGGTGGTTGGAAATCTACTCGGCCGCGATGAATGCCAACATGGATCGTGCACTTTGTAATTAATCTGTAAACTGATTATCCTACAAACTTAATGAGCCTCTCCATTGGAATTTTTGTTTTGTTATGTAGACAGAGACTACTAGCAAGTACAAGGAATTCAGCTCAACTCTTCTCTTTACATTTTCATTTAATAGGCTATGGACCACTTTCGTTATGAGAAGACCTATGATACTACTCGTTGCCTACGCCGAAGTAGATGTAGAATTTAAATTCGCGAGTCACTGCTCAGAAGTCGAATACCTAGACTAATTGGCCAAATTTCTACAAAGAAGCATAAAATATCACATTTGAAAAACATTCCTTTGCCTTTCAAATAACACTGTACAGTTAGCTTGTTTTTAAATTTCTTGAGTTTATTGTAAAAGCAGTTAACATGAATTTTGAGGGAGTTTTGGGGATTTGGAAATATTTCAAATTGTTATTCATCGTAGACTGACATCAGTTAGAGGAACAACATGAATCTAATTTTTCTAATAAAGGAAAAGAATTTCTGAATTATTCCGTTCTACTTCGAGAAGACTCAACATAATCTTTCACTAACTAGTTTTGACACGGAACAAAAGCATTTAGATTTCACGATCACTGAACATTGTTTGTAGATTCACATTTTCATGCGATGATAGAGCTACTCTTCTCTAACTGACCTCATAACTCAGAAATTTTTCCTGGAATAAAGTTACTGACTAAGGATACTCTACATATGTTTAAAACGATGGACTGTTTTTTACTAATGGTGATGGTCTTTGAACTTTTCGTATAGATTTGGTTTGTTTAATCTGCTTGGGGTAAGATGTTTTACAATATTCTCAATTAATTAATTTTAAAGTGTTTCCATCGTCTTAATCTCCTGCTGTGCATTTCTAGTCTTGTCATTATTAATTACTTCACACTTACCACTTTTGTTGGGTTTTTTTTCACATTGGATATTTTACTCAAGATCAGGAGACGAAACTCACCTTACTGGATTTTTTACGTTACTGTTTACTTCTTCCCACAAACGTGCTATTAAATAACCTCTTTATCAGTTCACAATCAATTTTCATTCATTTTTTAGCGAGATAATGATGATGTGGTCCCATCCTAATTTTTGATGACAAACAACTATGTGTTTGCCTTTATGATATGCCGTTTATTTCTGAAGTCTATTTCGTGCAGTAAAATTTAATAGGGTCACAGAAAATGTTAAGTAATTAACTAATATTTGAGGTATAAGATCCGCAAAGGTATTCAGATTAAGTATCATTTAAATATAATATATATCTAACTATATAATAATGATAATTTCATTTGCCTGTAATAGGCTTAATATGCTACCGGATTGGCTACTATATTTCACATGAAATCCTAAGCACCTTTTTATGTGTAGTGAGACTCAAGGCTGAAGTATACGTGTAACCCTTGAGTTTACATGACCAGTATCTGGCGTAGAACTACACCTGTCATTACTGAGTAATTCATAATATGTCTGTGATTAATGTTGGTTGTATCTATGATTTACTAAATAAAGAAATATGCGTATATTATATTAGATTTCTGTATTCATAAATGCCACTGAATGAAACATCAGATTACCTTTATGTTTCTAATTAACTAAGGCTAGATTTGAAGCAACGGGCTTCGCCTTTTGAGAACAAGCACATTGTTTTCGGTCACAAATCTTCTTGAATGGATTAAGTGACCTATTTACAAATGGCTTGATGATGCCATCGAATGTATTGTTTACGCAGGGCAAAATATACTACTTTGGTTTTATTACAGTTACAGTATTATTATAGTTCAAATGAGCAGAATTTGAAGGTGTACACATAAAAATGTCCTTATGAGTTGTTGATCTGTTTGATACAGTCAAGCGGGAACTAAGAGCAATTGGTGATTTGTGTGGAAGCAGGATTCAGAATAAATAAAAAGTACCAATCTTAGAATCCTCAAAGTAGGTAGATACTTGTGTGAGATATTTCTCTCCTTTAAAGCAATTTTCAGTAGTAGAGGAAAAAAAGTTATTTCGCAAAATACCCGAAAGAACAACTTGGTATTGAATCTTGTAGGAATAAGGACTAAGACCTATAAGATTCAAATCCTAATCACATCTTAATTGCAGAATAACTTACAACATACTTCAGTTGATATTTTACATAACAGTATGAATCAGTGAATACAAGTTACTGCATACAACTGCTTTTCATGCACCTGCGATTCTTATGTACTGACTGTTAACTAGAAATCCTTATTAGGCATCTAGGCTTGAGTAGACGCCAATGATTCACCAGTAACAGGTGAATCCACAGTAGAAGTTACAAGGAAAACAGCTGATTGTTATAAAAAATGCCATGCATATGTTCTCTATGATCAGAGCAGTTTACAGGAAGGTGTTTTTATAGCCGTTCTGAGCACTTTTATCGCTTCAAATAAAGCCAATTTTGATAACCTGATTTCTGAATCATCACCCTGCTTTATGCATAGAAGTAAAACATGAATACTTATTCTTTCAATGCCAAGATGTTCTCCATTCCGTATGGTATGTGGTAAGTGTTACACTTTTTTGTTTAAATTACTTTCACTAGAACGCTGAAAGCTTTTATTACTTCATTAGCCTACTTGCTGAAATAAATTCGTCTGTAAAAGGATACATGAAAACGGCAAGGATATCATGGGATCATTATTCCTTATATAAGGAAATAAAAAGATCAGTGAAATTAATTATCAGTTCAACTAGCTTAAAAGTGTAACGTTAAGAAAGGTATCTCTTAAAATGAGGTGACTTTATTCAGTGGTTCTACTAGGAATTTCATTAGTTGATCCAGTAAAAATGAAGCACGCTTTGTACTCATGATTACCCGTCCCAGAAAAAAACATGAATACTTGTTATCAAACTAACAGGAATTAGGATTTACAGTTTAAATGGCTTAAAATGTTACTACTTTTGAACTGAAATGAATTTTGTTACAAAGTTGGTTTTTAATAAATTAATCTCATTCTTAGTTGTAATATCTTTCAATCGGAAGGCAGAAATATATACTTATATCGCTTTTGAAAATAAACACTAACATTTGCATACCGATTGTTTCGGGCTTTGTATATTGAACACCTGAGAGATAGAACATTTAAAGGCATTTTCTGTAAATCTGAACGTCAGCAGAAACATCACACATTCTAGATATATTCAGGTATAAGTCTTTATGTAGGACAAAATATTTGGTCAGTTTTTGTCACTTACAATAATAATGATATCAATCACGGTACCCAAATCATCGGATAAGAAAGAAAATAACAAGAGTCGAAGTCAGGCAATTCAGTGCATCACTATAACAGCACAACTGCAATGTTTAAGTACTAGACTTTTGCTGTTTTTTTACATCATCTGTTCATTGGAGAAGAGAAACGAATTACCTCAAAACGAATCATTACAATCGTTGTTTTATAGAATGAACCATATTCTTACCTCCAACCAGAGAATACCATTTTGCTCCATTGGTAATGCCATTTTTGAATTGATTATTCGCATCATGACACTTTTTGATTCCTTTCTTCATTCGTGGATGTAGGTCGGCGTATGATTCTGCCAGTTCACTAAAATTATTACGAAAAAGTACCTATTATTACACCGACACATTTGAACAGTCTTGGTTGTATCATCATATATTGACGTTAGTTCTGAAACTATTATATCAAAAAGATTTAATTGATGACAGAAACAATGCATCACACGCATTTAAAACATTTAAAAAGTAAATCAGGTCATAATTTTAAATTAAACTATGGAAAATAATGTTCTCTCTGAAATAAGGTTTTTTGTCCTTTCAAGTTATACTCGAAGTTATCACTGTAATATTATTGCGTGACTTTTAATAACTTCATGAGAAGACAAAACAAGTAACAGAAATAAACAGTGATGGTAATCACACTGTCTAAGTAGTCTTTAATACTGGAGAAATTCTGTTACGACAGATGTACAAAGAAAGATACTAACCTAGCATCTTCCGTTGACTCATTTATGTATTCGAAGACTAAGATTTCCTGTTGGTGTAATTTCAGCGGAAATTTACCACTTCTTATTCAAAAGAATCTTGTCAAAACTTAGGTACACAAAATGGTACTGGCTGATACTCGGTGGGAAGTTAGTGTTGAATTGTAATACAACTAATTCTCTAAATTTTGTATTTTTCTGCGCTTTCGTTGAAAAAATTTACTGCATCGAACGTCTTTGTAAAAATTTAATGATACCAGTTGAATCGTTAATTGTCTTACTGTAGAACACGTTTGTAGTTATTTAAAAGCTGCTTTTAACATTCAGATATCTTACACATGTAAACTGCAGTAAACCATAAAATTGCATTAAAGTTTTGCCCACTATAGTTGACAAATTTCATCGCTGGCTGACTGAACTCAGACAATCTGACCATGAAATTCCAACCGATTTGGAGATTGACTTAGCAACGGAAGTTAAGATTTCGAATTCATTCTTGTCAGGAAATGAGGATAATTACTTGTTAGGAGTTCTCAGATGGGACGGGATAACTGCCTACTACTTCCTGGGTTTTAGCCATGCTCCATTTGAATTCAACCCATGGATAGAAATTATCTTCGAATTAATATGTTTCTGACTAACTAAGCCAGCGAAATAAACCTTTTTGTTTTGTGTTGCTTCCATTGTCTTCATAGAGGTTACCTGTACTACCAGTCAGACAACTTACTGTAAACATACTCAGGTACTGTGAAAAGTAGTTCAAAATGGTTATAATGAAAGCTTTGTATCTAATTATATCCTTTTAGAGACTTTTAAAAGAACATGATTCCAGACTGAGGATTAAAATAGGAACTACCTCTAAATATTAGTAGACAGGTGTTTTTCACATATACATTGTATGGCATGCAAAGTTTATCTTACAGTCATTCGATTATTCATCCGACTCTGAAAGTTTGCTAATCTTGTGAAGAATGAATTCGACACAGCATACTTCATTGATTATACTTGTGCTTAGGAACAGTTCGCAATAAAATATTCAACTCATGATAATTACATTTTATTATCCAGTTGATTTTCTTTTAAAATAAGGTTATAGATTTAGAATGTAGGAATTTTAGTACACTCAATACTTCCAATTTTTAACATGTCTTGTAGCTTCTAAGTATATTTAGTTTTCAAAGTATAATAGCTTAAGTCCCCTTGCCTTGCAGTTGGTTCTTAAAGCTTGACTCGTGAGCTAACTGAAATATGCTTGTAAAAAGAAAGAATAACGATGAGAAAGAGTACTAAAACAATATGTAGCACTGATTTGGATCATTTTCTGCATTTCATCAGTGTATTAGCCCAAGTATGTCAGGTTTTCGACCACTATAGCTACACATATTGCTTTAATTGAATATTATGGTAATGTAATGCTCTGACGATCATATCTGAAGGAAATCTCATCTATTCGGCTCAGGTACAAATATTTGGACGGCAGAGAACTCAACAAACTGCCAAAGAAACATAACTTAAATAGGTTGGGTCATCATTAGGATCTAACTGTTTGTAAAGTTAAGGAAATATTCCTTGAGCTCTAATCATTGAAACACCAACTCAGATAGAGAGC